GCATGGATCAATTCCTTAAATAATTAACTAGATTTTTTAGAACTTTTCTACATCATGTAATAAAGGATGCTATGCTTTTGCTTTTGCACGTTCTGTTCTATCTAATCCCCACTCCTAATCTATTCTTACTTTACATTTCTATAACTAGGACGTCAACTAAGCCACTAAATCAAAGCTAAAGCCATAATGCAGTGAAACAAGGAGCATGGCTGAAAACAGAATGCTTGAACTACAACTAGGGAAAGCTTAATCCGTTTCGGATTAGAGTCTCCAGAATATGAGACCAACATCAGCTAACAGTAATCAAAATTACCCAATGGAACAACTGCTAACAGTAATCAAGATGAATAGAGGCAATTTAACACATCTTGAAACTATTGACGTCAAACCATAATTCATCATGTATCAATAAAAAATATGTTTTGCCAGGCCAATCATGTGCATAACCAGGTTTCAAGTTCATGTGCATTTGTCTAGTATATTTTCAGATGTGACTTCTACATGAGTGTGCCATCCAATTGTCAATGCATCAAGTGCAAATACTTTTTAAGAGCTTCTTTATTTAAAGTTATCATGTTTACATTCTCAATAATGTGGGTCCATAGTGCAGTTTGCCCATGTTTATTTGAAGAATGAATTCAGGTTACTGGTAACTTACTTAATTAACTGTGGGTGCATAGTGCAGTTTGCCCATGTTTATTTGAAGAATGAATTCAGGTTACTGGTAACTTACTTATTTAACTGTGGGTGCATAGTGCAGTTTGCCCATCCTAATAATCTTGGTATTTCAATCAAACGCAGTAATCATATATTCTTTTTTTTCAAATAAAAGAAAATTTGAATTAAAAGGTACCAAGGGGGTACCACCCCATATACAAAAGGTTATTACATATCAGTTAACATATCAACAACTGCTCCAATATCCTCTAAATATAGTAAATTGTGACCCAAGAGTAAGGAGTCAAAATAGTGTAATCATCTATATCTAATATTTACAAGAGTATTTTCAATGCCCTCAAAAGCACGGTTGTTCCTCTCCTTCCACAAGATCCAAAAAATAGAGAGGGAGATAAGGCGAGCAGCTTTGTTGTAAGAAAATAGACCTTCCCAAACCAAAAGTTCTCTATGAATAGAGTCCGCCATTACCCAATTAATACCCATCAATATATGCTAAGTAATCACACGACTCATAACTTAGAATTCCAATAAATAGCTGAATCTGTAATATTTTATACCTTGAACAAAAAGGGGTTCGACATTCCTTCTCCAACATTAGCTGCTTATATATCTAGAAGATACAACTGAAGGTTGGTATTTATTTTTCTTCCTTTTATCTCTCTCTTTCTTGTTCTTCCCTTACCTTGTTTAATCTCTTATTTTCTCTTTTTGTGTCTGTCTTCTTGTTCATTCTTCTTTATCTTGTTTCCTTTTTTTTTATCCCTTCTCATTTCTCCCATGTCTTCCACTTTCTATTTTTTCTCTTTCCACCCCTTTATTTTCTATTATCTCCTATCTCGCAAATGTTTTCCCAATGTTTTTGTGATCCTGCTTAGAAAATATTGCAAATCAGGGCTCCAGTACCAATAAAATCATCTATTGTTGCATCCAATCACCAGTTTCAGGTCAAGGGCCAATATTTCCCCCCAATGTCATATCACAGATCCCCACCAATACTCTATTCCCATTCATAAAAACCAATCTTCCAGTAGTGAAAAAGCAGAAAAGAAAAAACAGAGTTTTTGATTGGAAAGAAATCTCTTTCAGAGATATTTGGATAAGTACCTACCTTCTTGGATTTCTTTTTGGAAATGAAAGTATAGTAAGTATATTAAATTAGAGACACCAACGAAGTACGACTCATGTACAAAAATATTTACAAATCAGTGAGTATATCTATAACACTTCCAAAATCCTACCTTACCTTCTTGGATAATGGAGAAGCGGCAGACTTAATAGGATTTATGTCCTTCTTGTAAAGGTATTTGCATAGGGGCAGCACCCCCTTGGTGCCTTGTAAAATACACTATATTTTCCTGTTAAAAGTATAAAAATGACTTCCATAATCCCTATTTCTAATCCCATGGAAGGCCTTAACCAAAGCATTCATATCTCCACCCTTGCATCTCTCTCCAAATGTTCTTTTTCTTATTTCTAAATGATTTATTTCTTATTTATATGATTTTTAAAACCTATAAATTTGATCAGAAAAAATTCTTGAATAATGTATTCAACTCCAGGGATTAATTGGAAAAGAATTCTTTCCTAACATGTAAAAGCAATGAGACTTATTCTTTTGCTCCTTTTTTTCTTGTCCTCTCCAAAGTGATTTTTTGAAGCCCCTTTCCAATAAATCTTACCACATGAGCAGCAAAGATATAATCATACAGTTCCATCTCCTTAAGAAAAGACAACTTGATTCCGAACTCACCCACTGATTCTTGAATCTCCTGTCCAAATCTCAACCACTTATTTTAACATAAGCGACACCGTCAATCATCAGTCCACCCTTTCTATAACAATCGCCATGTCTGGTAATCAACAAACCTCTTTCTAATACGAATGACCTGTCTAGAAATTACCACAACCTGGAAAACTATCTTCCACCTCTCTATGTTAATCTAAAGCAATAATCCTCTTTCTAATATGAATGACCTGTCCAGAAATCCCCACAAGCTGGAAAACTATCTTCCTCCTCTCTATGTTAATCTAAAGTAAATTAGCTATGGATTCTGCACTAACTCTACTGAGACACATTATTAGCCCTAAAAAAATGTATTAATTTGCACCTCTTATAAAACTTTCTAGGGAAATATGTAAGTTCCACAAAACTATTCTGATTAAACAGCTTTACATTTCTCAACCAAAAAAAATCAGCTTTCAGTTAATACAAAAAGCATTCACATGTATAATCACCCAATAATTAGCCATGGCCTACTTGCTAACAACAAAAACCTACCATACTTCAACCCAGTAGACTTAATGCAGTGTCGTGTATCCGTATGTTTCTTTTCCAAATAAATCGATATCTGAAATTCCTATTCTTTATCTTTATCTAAAGAGACAATAAAATATGGTCATGTAAATTGAATGCATCTATTAATGAAGAAAAAATATGTTAGCAAACCAAGAAAGAAAAGCATATTCTAAAGTATAAATTGGCTAGAGCGGATTATTTCACGGAGAAGAAGACTATTAAAAAAGCATAGCATATTCTAACACTTCAAGTTTAATGATGAAATAACTATCTCAGTAAGTATTCTTGGGCGGAAAAGAAGAATACAGTGACTCTTACAAATAAATCAGAGCTCCCAAGGCCACGTGCAGTGTCAATATATAAATGCCTTCCAAGAATGTTAACCTGAACTCTGATATACAAACTGAGCATTGTCACGGCCCATACGGACATCACCATTCTTGTGAAACCTACAAAAACACTACCAACCATGAGAACATACAACAATGAGAACATGTAATGGATGAAACAACATGCATAAAGCACTATAGATGTAAGAAAACAATATTCAAAGAACTACATACTTAAAGTTTTGAGTCTTTCCCACAGCTCAAGTTTCTCGGAAGGCATCAAAGTTGCTTTCTCTCTATTTAACCTCTGGGTAAGGGGACCGACATCCAGCTCCTCTGCTATCCGACTATTTAAAAAATTCATTGCATGAGGTAATGTGGTTGTATCAGCTATTCTCTGAATATTTTGGAAATGAGCTTGCATTCTATCATATCAAGCAAAAAAAACTCCACGTAAGAATCCCCATTACACATTGAAATTGATCAAACTTGTAAAGGTAAAATGCTAAGTTTTGATTCAACTCAACTGGGCCTTGATGATTTCATCATTTTCCCGCTCATTTGCTAGTTGTCTTTCCAGATCAGCAAGGCTACGTCTATGCGCATCATATAATTTATACAGAAAATACCCACTTCCTAAAACACCTGTTGTAACAAAAATCTTCCTTCTATGCCTTCTCCAAAATTCCCTAGATTGAAAAGAAAGGTCGAAATCAACACAACGAGTAATTCAAACACCAGCAACTTTTTTACCCTCCCCACATCCCCAAATCATAAACATCACCTCAAAAACAGTCATTTCCACTTACTAGCTACCAGCTACCAGCAAAATGCAACAGAGACAGAACACTAAACAGATAGAGCACAATGAAACAGTAATAATCATTCTAAGAAATAAATAACCCACATCAAGAACCAATAAATTAAGCAATGAAATGACGATTCGACGAGTACCCAGAAGAAATAGAAAATGAACGGACCTTAAAAAATACATCTTTTATGCTATCGGCCCCAAATATTCATCATGAAGCCTTCACTCTCCGCAGGTCGACAAGAATTCCGAGACATAAAAAGGGAAGAATAAGATATATATCCGTCTGCGTAAAGATGAGAAAAGGAAGGTATTTTCAAGCCACGAACAAAGCAGAACTTGTACAACCCGGCACGAGGAAGTCTTTGGGAAACTCGCCTTTAAAATGAAATACAGCCCTGTAAATTTTGAGACTCCATGGGTATTTGCAGAGAAGGAGAAGACCTTACCTGTTGAACTGAGGACCCAGAAAGAGAACAACGGAGAGAGGGAGGAGAGAGTGTGTGTGTGTGTGTGTATTTGTCTGTGTGTGTGTGTGTGTGTGCGTGTGCGCGCTCTGGAAATAGGTAAAAGCCGGAAAGGAGGAGCCCAAACTCCAAA